AATTAACAAATTACCAATAAGCAGCCAGCAATCAATCACCGATTAATTAATATCCAATAAATAATTAATTAATAACCAATAACAAACCAATAATCCATAATCAATAACCAATAATCCATTAAAATCCAATTATTCAGTAACCAATTAACAAATTTCCAATAAACATCCAACAATAAATTAAGAATTTATTAATAACTGACAAACAATTAATTAATAACCAATAAATAACCAATAATCCATAATCAATAACCAATAATCAATATAAAACCAATTATTCGATAATCAATTAACAAATGTCCAATAAACAGCCAACAATCAATCAGCAATTAATTAATAACCAATAAATAATTAATTAATAACCAATAAAAAAATCAATAATTGATAATCAATAACCAATAATCAATATAAAACCAATTATTCGATAACCAATTAACAAATTACCAATAAGCAGCCAACAATCAATCACCGATTAATTAATAACCGATTAATAACCGATAAATAACCGATAAATGGTAATTAATAGCCGATTATTAATTAATTAACGGCCGATCATCGGTAACCGATACCCGATAATCGATAACCGGCCCCTCCCCCCGCAGCCGCCTGACCTCCTCGGCCGCCGCCTGGACCTGGCTCCTGATTGGCTCCCTCCTGGTGGCCTCCCACCCTTGGCTCCGCCCCCCCTGGGGCTCCGCCCTCCGCGCCCTCGCCCGATTGGCCGTCGGCCTGGCGCTCTCCCGGGCCGGCCACGCCCTCGGCCACGCCCTGGAGGCGGCCACCGGCTCCTGCACCTCCCCCACCCCGCTGGGGACCCTCCTGGTGCCCCTGGGAGACCCCGCGGCCTGCCGGGGGGCGGGGCACAGCTGGGAGGGCTTTAGCCCCGCCCCCCAGGCCTTCGCCCTGGTGCATTGTGGGTTGGGATTGGCCGAAGAGGCGGCGGCGCTGGGGCGGAGCTTGTACGGATCCAAGATGGCCGCCGGGCCCAAGATGGCCGCCGGGTACAAGATGGCCGCCGAATCCAAGATGGCGGCCTGGTACAAGATGGCGCCCTGGCACAAGATGGCGCCCGGATCCAAGATGGCCGCCGGGTATGACGTGAGTGAAGAATCCAAGATGGCCGCCGGATCCAAGATGGCCGCCGGGCACGACGCGAGCGAAGAATGCAAGATGGCCGCCCCGTCCAAGATGGCGGCCCGCTACAAGATGGAGGAAGGATCCAAGATGGCCGCCGGCAGCGGGTGGGCGTGGCCACGCCCGACATGGCGGCCGGGCTCTCCGCCACCGCCGCGGCCAATCGGCTTCGAGTGGGCGGAGCCTCCGCCTGCAACTTACGGGTGGGCGGGGCCTCCTCATTACGGCTGGGGCGGGGCCGGCGGCCATCTTGGGTGGCCATTTTGGGGCGGGGGCGGCCATTTTGAAGGGAGGAGCGTCGGCCATTTTGAAGGCGGCCATTTTGATTCCGGCCGCCATTTTGACTCCGGCGGCCATTTTGATGCCGGCGGACATTTTGAAGGAAGAACCGTCGGCCATTTTGACGGCGGCCATTTTGATTCCGGCCGCCATTTTGACTCCGGCCGCCATTTTGATTCCGGCCGCCATTTTGACTCCGGCGGCCATTTTGACTCTGGCGGCCATTTTGACCGCCCCGCCCGCCATTTCGACCCCCCGGGCGGCCATTTTGACCCCCCGGGCGGCCATTTTGACCCGGCCGGCCGCCATTTTCCCGGCGCATCTCCCCTTTCCGAAGGCGGCCATCTTGCCGGCGGCCATCTTGGCGGCCGTTTGGTGGCCCCGCCCACCGCGCTGTCCATCCTGTACCTGCTGGCCGTGGCCCTGCTGGTCACGTGGCACCTCCTGCTGGTGGTGACGCTCACCTACCGCCACACCTGGGCCCGCAACGCCGCCGGCGCCGCCCTGGGCTGGGCCGCCTGGGCCCTGACCTACCGGGGGTGGTACCGGTGGGCGTGGTCACCCGGGCCGCCGGGGTGGGGCTGAGGGGCGTGGCCAATGGGGGAAAAGCAAAAAAACCCGGGTGAAAATAAAGAAAAAATGGGGGAAAAGAGGGGGAAAACTTAAAGGGGAGTGGGCGTGGCTTAAGGGGGCGTGGCTCTGGTGGGGAAAATGGGGGGAAATTGGGATAAAATGGAATTTTTTTAGAATAAAAATTTGGGTTTTAAGGGGAAAGGGGGCGTGGCTTAAAGGGGAGTGGGCGTGGCTTAAAGGGAATGGGCGTGGCTTAAAGGAGCGTGGCTCTGGTGGGGAAAATTTGGGACATTTTGGGGGGAAATTGGGTTAAAATTGAAATTTTTTTGAATAAAAATTTTGGGTTTTAAGGGGAAAGGGGGCGTGGCTTAAAGGGGAGTGGGCGGGGTTTAAAGGGGAATGGGCGTGGCTTAAAGGGGAGTGGGCGGGGTTTAAGGGGCGTGGCTCTGATGGGGGAAAATGGGGGAATTTTTGGGGAAAAATTTGGTTAAAATTGAATTTTTTTAGAATAAAAATTTGGGGTTTTAAGGGGAAAGGGGGCGTGGCTTAAAGGAGAGTGGGCGGGGTTTAAGGGGGCGTGGCTCTGGTGGGGAAAATTTTAAAAAATTGGGTAAAAACTTAAAAATTGGGTTAAAATTTTGAATTTTAGTGAGAATTGGGAGATTTTATGGAAATTTGGGGAAGGGGCGTGGTTTGGGGAAATGGGCGTGGCTTATGAGAAAATGGGCGTGGCTTAAAGGGGCGTGGCCAGGTTGGGAAAACGCCTTGAAAATTTAAAGAAACACCCAAAATTTGGTTAAAAAATTGTTAAAAATTCAAATTTTGGAGCAAATTTGGGGCGGGGGGAGGGGGAAAGGGGCGTGGCCACGTGGGCGTGGCCTTCGGATGACCCCGCCCCCCAAATTTGGGATTTTTTTGGAGGCATTTTTGGTGTTTTCCACAAGGGGGCGCCCCAGGAGCAAAAATTTGGGGCGAATCCGGCGAATTTTGGGTTAAAAAAGAGGGAGGGGCCAAATATGCAAATGAGGGGAGCGTGGGAAAATGAGGTTTGGGGGAGAAACGGCGAATTTGGAGATTTTTGGTCCAAAATTCGGGGGTTTTGACCCAAAATTTGGGTGTTTTTTGACCCAAAATTTGGGGGTTTTGGGGCGTAAAATTGGGATTTTTTTGGGACTAAAAATGAAGATTTTTGGACAAAAAATTGGGAATTTTTTGGACCCAAAATTTGGATTTTTTTGACCTAAAATTGGGATTTTTGTGACCTAAAATTGTGATTTTTTTGGGACTGAAAATTTTTCACCTAAAATTGGGATTTTTTTGGGACTAAAAATGAAGATTTTTGGACAAAAAATTTGGATTTTTTTGGGACTAAAAATGAAGATTTTTGGACGAAAAATTGAGATTTTTTTGGACCCAAAATTTGGATTTTTTCACCTAAAATTGGGAGTTTTTTGGGACTGAAAATGAAGACTTTTGGACTTAAAATTCGGATTTTTTTTACCTAAAATTGGGATTTTTTGGGTCTAAAAATGAAGGTTTTTGGACAAAAAATTGGGAACTTTTTTGACCCAAAATTTGGATTTTGTCACCTAAAATTGGGAGTTTTTTGGGACTGAAAATGAAGATTTTTGGACTTAAAATTCGGATTTTTTTTACCTAAAATTGGGATTTTTTTGGGACTAAAAATGAAGATTTTTGGAGACAAACCTGGATTTTTTTGACCGAAAATTTGGATTTTTTTGGGGTGGAAAACGAAGACTTTTTGACCCAAAATTTGTATTTTTTATGAAATAAAAATGACAATTTTGGGACCCAAATTTGGGATTTTTTGGACCTAAAAATGAAGATTTTTTAGACAAAAAATTGAGATTTTTTTGGACCCAAAATTGGGATTTTTTGTGATTAAAAATGAAGGTTTTTCAACCCAAAATTGGGATTTTTTTGGACCCAAAATTGGGATTTTTCTAGGAAATAAAAATGAGAATTTTTGTAAAAATTGTGATTTTTTTAAACCTAAAAATGAAGATTTTAACCCCTAAAATTGGGATTTTTTAAAAATAAAAATTAAGATTTTTGGACCCAAAACTGGATTTTTTTGGGGGCGAAATTTGGGGTTTTTTGAGCCAAAAATTCGGATTTTTTGGGTGGAAAAATCGCGATTTTTGGACTTGGAAAATTGCCGATTTTTAGGCAGAAAAATGAGAATTTTTGGGTTAAAAAAGCGAAGATTTGGGGATGGAAAATGATGATTTTGGGGTAAAAAATGGCGATTTTTGGAGCTTTAAAATGAAGATTTTCGGGGTGAAAATCCACGATTTTGGGACCCCGAAAAAGAAGATTTTTGGATGAAAAAAAGAAGATTTTTGGGTGGAAAAATCGGAATTTTGGGGAGGATTTTAAGGTGAAAATTGAGGATTTTTGGAGGTCGATTTTGAGGTGAAAAAGCCGCGATTTGGGGCTGGAAAAATGAGGATTTTTGGGCGAAAAAATCGCGATTTTGGGAGCCTGAAAATGAAGATTTTTGGGCGGAAAATAGAGGAATTTTTGGCTGAAAAATCCGAATTTTGGGGGTATAAAAACGAGGATTTTTTGGGTTGAAAATCGCGATTTTTGGGGCAGCAAAAAGAAGAATTTTGAGCCCGAAAATGAAGATTTTTTTGGGGTTAAAAATCGCGATTTTGGTGCAAAAATTGAAGATTTTTGAGGTGGGAAAATGAGGATTTTTGAGGTGAAAAATGAAGATTTTGGGGATGGGAAAATGAAGATTTTTTAGGTGGAAAAAATCCGATTTTTTGGGGAAAAAATTAAAGATTTTTAAGGTGAATTTGGACCAAAAATCGCCGATTTTTCCTCAAAAAAATTAGGAAATTTTGGGTTGAAACGAGGTGAAAATGGGGAATTTTGGGGTTAAAAATGGGAATTTTGGGGTTTAAAAGGGAATAAATTGTAAAAAATGTGATTTTTTTTTTGGTCGAAAAATGCGGAATTTTGCCTTAAAATTTGTGAAGTTTTGTCCCGAAAATGAAGAATTTTACCCCGAAATAAAGAATTGACCCGAAAATGTCGAATTTTGCCTCAAAATTTGTATTTTGTTCAGAATAAAAGAATAATAAATTTTTTTTACTTCTCTGTGTGAATTTATTTGAGTCCAAAAATGTGAATTTTTTAAAATAAAAAATGTGAATTTTTAAAATAAAAATTTGTGAATTTTTAAAATAAAAAATGTGATTTTTTTACATCAAAAAATGTGGATTTTTGGAGCAAAAAATTGTGAATTTTTAAAATAAAAAATGTGAATTTTTGGAACAAAAAATGTGAATTTTTGGAGCAAAAAATGGGGATTTTTTACATCAAAAAATGGGAATTTTTCCACTTAAAAAAGTGAATTTTTTACATAAAAAAATTTGAATTTTTGCCCTAAAATTCCTCATTTTTAACCCCAAAAATTTAAATTTTTTTCACTCAAAAAATCCAATTTTTTTCCATTAAAAATTCAATTTTTTTTTACCCAAAATCTTTAAATTCCGCCCCAAATTCTTTTTTTTTCCCGTAAATCGATTTTTTCCCACTCAATTCAGTATTTTTAACCAAAATATGCAAATTTCACCCCAAAATTTACATTTTTCGTACCAGGAAATTTTAGGTTTTACCAAAACCTTCGGGATTTCCCCCAAAAGGGGCGGAGGGACCAAAATTGGGATTTTTCACCCCAAAATTTGCTTTTTTTTCCTCCAAAATTTGCATTTTTTCCTCCAAAATTTGCATTTTTCACCCTCACCTCTGGCGCTCTTTGCCTGAATTTTGCTTTTTTTACCTTAAAATTCTGATTTTTGCCCTAAAAATGAATTTTTCCCCATAAAATTCCGAATTTTTACCCCAAAAATCCAAATTTTTAATTAAAAAATCAGAATTTTATCTAAAAATTGAATTTTTTTGTCTCAAACCCCCAAAATTTTTGACAAAAAATTCACTTTTTTTACACCAAAATTACTTTTTTTCAACTAAAATCACCATTTTTAACCAAAAATTAATTTTTTTGCCCCAAAAATCAGAATTTTTCTCTTGAAATTTCCTTATTTTCTTCAAAAAATCAACAATTTTTGCCCTAAATTTGATTTTTTTCTCTCCTAAAATCCCAATTTTTAGTCCAAAAATCGAATTTAGTTTTAAATTTTGCCCTAAAATTGATTTTTTTTCTTCCAAAATCACAATTTTTATGCAAAATTTGGGATTTTTACCCTAAAATTCAGATTTTTTTCCTTAAAAATCCCAATTTTTACCCCCCCAAAAATCCAAATTTTTGCCCTAAAAATCGGATTTTTCTCCCCTAAAAATCCCAATTTTTACTCCAAAATCTTCCTCAAAATTGGGGATTTTCAGATTTTTTTTCTTAAAAATCCCAATTTTTACCCCAAAAAATGAAAATTTTTGCCCTAAAAATCGGATTTTTCTCCCCTAAAAATCCCAATTTTTACTCCAAAATCTCAAATTTTTACCCTAAAAAGTGAATTTTTCTTTAATTTTTGCCCTAAATTTGATTTTTTTCACCTAAAACCATAATTTTTTCTCAAAATTTGGGATTTTTGCCTTAAAATTCAGATTTTTTTTCCTTAAAATTCCCAATTTTTGCCACAAAAAAATCCAAATTTTTTGCCCTAAAAATTGAATTTTTCTTTACATTTTGCCTAAAAATTGATTTTTTTTTTTCCTCAAAATTGGGGATTTTTGCCCTAAAATTCAGATTTTTTCCCTAAAATGCCTTTTTTTTTGCCCAAAAATCCAATTTTTTCCTCAAAAATTTTATTTTCCTTCAAATTTTGCCCAAAATCCTCAATTTTTTACCCAAAATCTTCATTTTCCACCTCAAAATTCACTTTTTCCTCCCAAATTTTACCCAAAATTTCTCTTTTTCACCCCAAATTTTGAAGTTCTCACCAGCAAACTTCAACTTTAAAAAAATTCAATTTTTCCACCCCAAACCCACAAAATTTGCCTAAAATCGCCTTTTTTTCACCCAAAACCCTGCGGGGATTTCGGGGCTTTTTTTAACACCCAAAATTTGCATTTTTCGCCCC